ACTTCTACCAACACCTCTAACCTCACCTACTCAGCTTTTAAACACTGCCCCCCCTCCCTCCCTTGGACCCTGTACAGTTCACCCACACTCAGACTCACCAAGAAGGAGTGAAGTATTTGCCCCTTTTTTCGCCCCTTTTCCTACTTTTTGCACAGTTTGTTTCCTTGGTTTATTTTCTCCCTTTAATCAAAGCTCGATACCAAAAATGTAGGTTTGGGAGGAAACTGTTAAAGTTTCCTCCAAAGTCAGTCCTTTGCCTTAGATTCGATTGTCACGGCGACGCAAAATGACCATCTTTTTAAAAGCTAGATTTCCCAGTTAAAACGTATCGGCACACAACATTGCTTTTCTTCCACTTTGTTTTTTTCCTTTTTCAAACTTTGATCAAATAAATCTTTTTAAGTCATAGTTTAAAAGCCATTACACAACTTTTTTTTCATGCTATAATCTTTTGAAGAAGCAGATTGGTTTCTGCTTCAGTCATACGATAAATAGCAGAATTTCTGAACGTTACATGAGGAGTTTAAAAAATTTATTGGTATTTTGTTGATTGATGAGCCAAGACATGCCGAAAGATGTAATTTGATGAAATGTGAGTAAAGTTTAGGAGTTTTTAAGATGGAAAAAGTTCATACTTTGTTTTTAAGAGTAGAATCCAACGTATGGGAGGCAGGATTATAAACCTTGGCACATTTCCTAAACCTAATCTGTCATTTTGAGGGTTTCCAGCTGCTTAAACTTGGGTTTATCTACCTGTTTCTCTCTTGTTTGCATTCTAATCTCTGGTCTGACAGCCAGTAAATCACTCCCTGAATGATGCCTCTCAGTGCTGCATTAATGTAAGCAAGCTTTTTCTCCCCCCCAACTAGAAAGATTTATTTCTCATAATCTGGGATTATCCCTTCCTTTTATCAGTGGTACATACTTCACTACCTGAGGAAAACATCTGGGTTCTCCTCAGAGAAACAACACTTCTTACCAAACTAGTGGAATATATATTTTATATCTCCTGTTTTGTTTTTTGCTTTTCAAGTTATTTCTGATTGGCCAAAGAATCTCTAAACGAGTGACATACAATCTGTCTGACAGGTGACTCCTGAACAGAATGTATTCACCCAGACTAAAACTAAAAGCCCTTTACGTCGGTCAGATCTCAGGGCTTTCGCAGTACCTCTCACACTAACGACTAACGAGTCACTTTGTTTGAATAAAACTACAAAACAAAAAATGATTGTTTTTTTTTCCCTGGACATTTCTATATAAGCACAGGTAATGTTTGTTCTTGCACGGGTTCATATTGTTGTACAATTCCTACGTCTTTGTGCATTTTTAATAAAAGAAAACTGCCGGTGCAATTTTCTTTCTTTGCCAAAAAAAAAAACGCTTGTTATCAGATGGTGCACAAAATTGTAAGTTATTTAAAGAAAAAATTGCCTTTAAACAGGCCAACTGATTAGTTTGAAAGTTAGAGCTTAACATTTCTGTCAATTGACGACACAGCTCAGGCGTACGACCTGAAAAACTAGAGACCAGCCTTTATTATCAGTGCAGATCACATTTAATAACACCCTTATTAAAAATGTTTAAAAAGCATTTTTATATTAATTCATCTCTTATTACATAAACCTCATATATCCAAAGTTTAACCAAAGTGAAAGAATAAAAGATGCCAAATTGTTGATACCTCTAATGACTAAATCATGACCTTCTGTTTCTGGAGGTATAAATACGGTGTGACGCAAAAGCCAATTTAATTTAGCCAGGAAGCTTAATGAGGATTAAAGCCTCTAGAGAGCCGTGGGCATCTTGGTGTCACCAAGTCTCCAAACATCTGATCCAGATGTTCACTGAAGACAACAAAAAAGAGGGCCTGCAAGGGCCCACGTTCTGCATGTTTTAGGTGCTTTCCTAATACGTGCTTTATTAGTTGGCCCTGCAGACTTAAGACATCCAGACTAGAGAAATTGGTCATTTTAATCTGATGTGTTAGAGAAGGAATGAATCTAACGTGCAGAAAATGGATACGGACCCCATGGTCTGCCTGGATGCTGTTTAGCAGAGATTCTAGTTGAATTAAAACACTTTTTTTTCTGTCTAACCATCACAAACGTAAACATGAAGGATTATCTCAATTGAAACGATGCGCAGATTCTTGATAGGAGGCAGGTTATGCTTAACAAACACTACAGGTTTCAGAATATAGGGAGGAATGCCTTCATTGTAAAAGGTGAAGGTTGATCCAGAACACGTGGCAGAAGAAATGACCTGATCTCAGACCTAAAACCCTCTGAGGAGATGAAAATATCAGCGAGGACTAAAACCCGTCCCCCTGGTTAAAACGGGATGTATAAAGTATTAATAGGGGATAATAAGGTAAATTGAGTTTTTTTTTTTTTTCTTATCTACACTAAGAGCAGAAAAAGGTTCTTTCCACTGCAGATGGGTCTAAACTGTTGGATCATGTGATACAATTAGATGCACTGATTGTTAAAATTTAATTCTCAGCCTGTGACCCGGCGACCAGTTTAAGTTTGGACCGTTCTGTTCAGCTTTCATATCTGACCCGACCCAGCCTCCCCTGGTTCCGGTGGAGGTCACCTGTGAGCATGTCGAGGCCTTTACTTCACTCCTGAATGACCTGGCAGTGATTTTTTTCTACAGCAGCTTTATGTAAACAAACTCTTTGGTGATAATGGGGGGTGTCTTCCACATTCTGGCATTAAGGGAGCCCTTTTCTCCTTCCTACTCAAAGACGTACGCAACATTGGACATTTTGCTTTGTCCACGTGTTCCTGTAGAGGCCAAATGTCGCTGGACACTTTCTGTCTCTAACATGCAGACTTTCAGATTGGAACTTTGTACAATTCAGTGTTACTGAGTTTTTTTTTTTCTGACAAAAAAAAGAATCAACACATAAATGTTTTTAGGTTTAACCACAGTTTGTCGGCATGGTTTTTATTTCCACACACTCCTGCTTTGAGATCTTTCAACGTTGTGAAAAACTTTATTATGACCTTTTGAAACTGGTCTTCATCAACAGCTTTTCAGGCTCACTTTTTAATTTTTGGAAACATGTTAATATCGGTCCAGAAAACGGCCCTTTTATAAAGACCTTTTTATTGTTTTAACCTGTGACCAAGGAAGGTCCACTTTATTTTTAGAGCACAATTTATTTTTGAATAAGGATTTTAATATACATCTAAAATTTAATTGGATGCAGTTTCAGATTATTTGAACTAGTTAAATTGAAGCCTTATAGGAGATTATTATGATTACAAATTGTTTGAAAATGATGAGAAACGGCTTTCATTTTGGCTCACTTGGATAAATTCATATCATTTTTATATGTATAGAATAGAATAGAATAGAAAATCCCTTTATTGTCCCACAACGGGGAAATAGTGGTGTCACAGCAGCATTACACCAAAGTTGGTCACACAAATGTGGACCTTAGAAGTGTGTAAAGTATGAGTAAAAATAACATTCACATAAAATGTAAATTTAAAAAATATAAGAAATAGACAAATAATATACTGTCCTGTAAAGTGTTTTTACAAATATAAATACGGTGCAGTAATCTGAAGAATAAATAATCAATATACAGCTCTGGACATTTTTACAGTAGTGGGAAAATAGCAGCAGCACCAGCGATGATGCAAAATGACAGCAGCATGTTATTTAAGTGACCAAGACAGGGAATGCAAAGGCAATATGAAAATTGTGATCTTACAAATTGTTTTATTCTTGTGACATTCAATTTGTTTCCCCATTTCTATTTCTATATAATTAATGGAAAAACTTAAATATCCAACAAATATAACTGGAGTAAATGAAAAATGTAGGCTAATGATTTGTAGCACAAGTCAAGACTTTAACTAGGTGCTTTAAAACAGTTTAGAGTCACATCCACTGGTGTGGTATTCTGATAACGAGCAGAATCGGCCTCTGACCATCAATCTGATGATGGTTTTCTGAGCTGCTCTGTTAGTTTCACACTTGATGCAATGAGACTGGATTCTCCGTCTCATTTGTTCTGGACCTGGGTCAGCTGGAGGCCGTCTCTTAGTGATCTCTGCAGAACATTTGTGAGCTGCTAAATGGTGCTTTGATGAACTCCTGGAGTCATTTTCACCACAGCTCTATGTTTCTCCTATTTAACTGTTCTCACTGTGCTTCACTGTTTTTTTACTCTTTAAATATCAATAGATGTCTGTAATTTGGCTTTATATGAACAAAGTTCCAGAAAAAAACTTTTACTAGACCTGGAAAACTGTTGATGAAGAGTATTTTACTTTTTGCAGATAGTTTCATCTTTAAACATTTCCTGTCTAACCTTGGATTAAACAAATTAAATCTGTTCCGTCTCTCTATGGAAGACCTTTTCTATTAACTCTGTGCCTAGTCTACAGATTCTCCAACAGCAGCACTGCCCATGAGATCAAGGCCCACAGAGATTCCCTGTCTTCAACCTTTTTCATCACCTTTTATTTACAGCGTTCACAAACATCAGCAACCGCTTTGATTGTAAGATCCCAGTCCGCCGCCTCCCCGGCTCTGATTGGTGTATCTGTCTCCACTGGTTCATTTACCAATGTGTTTTTAACATTGCATTTTGTGGCTCAATAAAAGGTTGATAAACGCTGAAATGTTTTCCTATCATCTCTGTACAGAGCGGTGAAAATGATAATAGATGTATAAAATGGATAATTAGATGGTTGGTTGATTTGTTTGGTTTTAGTGATTAAATACAAGCAAAGCTGGAGGGATATGAGCAGGATGGGGATGTGTAGAGTGCATTATTTATTAGATATAAACATGATAAAGTTTTTCAGCTTACTCTACCAGACAGATTTTTTAACTTTAAATTCAGTTTCTCTAGATCGTTTTTTTTTTGTGTTTAAGTAGAAACATTTAAAGCACAGGAGTGTTACTGTTTATCTGCATCTATGAATCATAGATTAATAATAAGAGAAACCAACTCATCTGTTGAAAGAAGCAGAGCGAACAGTTTTTCAATTTTATATTTTAAGTATTTACAGATTGCTAATTGTTTACTAAAAGGTGTTTTGGTAAAACTGGAGAACAGACTCCGGCATGCAGGCGGTGGTCAC